CCTCGAGATTATTCCGACCGATGAAGTGCAGCACACAAAAGTTTTGGGGATGGGGACGACAGGTTATGGAGTTTGCTTGGGCACTATACTACTAGTAGATCGTAACTCAGCCCAATTCCTGATATTGAAGTATCTCCTTCCTGCATTTACCTTGCAATCAATGGATGAAAGTCAGAAAGCGTGGTGGCCTTGATTTAAATCTTAAAGGCGTTGAACTGCAACATGAAGGGGCAACCAAAGAAGAGATGTTGAAAGTCTTTGTTTTTTCTCCATTGGAGGATTCTGAACCAGTAACGCCATCGCCAAACAAACAGAAGAAGGCAAAGATGACGACTAACAAATGGGGAGAAAAGTATAGTTATGGGCTGATAATTAGGGTTGAAATTCATATGGCAAAACATGTGGGCCTAGTCTTGAAGATGACCCAACAAGTGGACTACAAAGTTTTACCTAATCAAGCCCCAAGTGAAATGGGCCCGATTAAGGAAAAGGATGGCCCAATACAATCACTTCCCAAATTCTCAATCGCTATTCAGCAATTTTTTGGGGCTGAGCTGCAATTGAAGAAGGAACAGAGGTTGAGCTCCTACGGCTATGAAAAATACTCCAGTGGCCAACACTACAAGAAGAAGGAACGGCAGGTCCCTGAACTTTTGTGGATGGAGGCAACAGGCTATGGGGTTTTAATGGACACTATATTAATGGTAGTGGATCCACTAAATAAGATAATCGGATCAACGTGCTCAAGATCGAGGAAAGTGGCTAGGAGGAATAGGAGAAGCTAGCACTAGTAGAATAGCCTGCAATTCTGATAGAAACAGAGATGAAGGCAATTGGCGGAGGCGGCCGATGCAGGAAAGGAGTTTATGTGAGGAATTGTTGGCCATCTGTCACGTGGGGACTGCTGAGGAGTTCAGAAAGACGTTTGAAGCATTGGCTTCACCATTACGGGGTATTCTAGAAGAGATTCTGGAAAGCACATTTGTTAATGGGCTTAAACCAGATATTTGGGCCAAATTTTGTTTACACTACCCAAGTGGATTAGGCCACATTATGGAAACAACTCAAAGAGTGGAAGAAAAAAATCTGGTCATCAAAGCTACAAAAGAAACCTTGGGCCCAAAATTCTTCAAATCAAGGCCAATTCATGGAGAGATGAAGACTAGCAAACCTTTTCCCACACGAACAGTGATGGTCGGAGAGAAATCACTAATGCAGCACCCGGAAATTGTCATGACAGTGGAAGGTGGGGCTATCCTCGAGATTATTCCGACCGATGAAGTGCAGCACACAAAAGTTTTGGGGATGGGGACGACAGGTTATGGAGTTTGCTTGGGCACTATACTACTAGTAGATCGTAACTCAGCCCAATTCCTGATATTGAAGTATCTCCTTCCTGCATTTACCTTGCAATCAATGGATGAAAGTCAGAAAGCGTGGTGGCCTTGATTTAAATCTTAAAGGCGTTGAACTGCAACATGAAGGGGCAACCAAAGAAGAGATGTTGAAAGTCTTTGTTTTTTCTCCATTGGAGGATTCTGAACCAGTAACGCCATCGCCAAACAAACAGAAGGTAAAGATGACGACTAACAAATGGGGAGAAAAGTATAGTTATGGGCTGATAATTAGGGCTGAAATTCATATGGCAAAACATGTGGGCCTAGTCTTGAAGATGACCCAACAAGTGGACTACAAAGTTTTACCTAATCAAGCCCCAAGTGAAATGGGCCCGATTAAGGAAAAGGATGGCCCAATACAATCACTTCCCAAATTCTCAATCGCTATTCAGCAATTTTTTGGGGTTGAGCTGCAATTGAAGAAGGAACAGAGGTTGAGCTCCTGCGGCTATAAAAAATACTCCAGTGGCCAACGCTACAAGAAGGAGGAACGGCAGGTCCCTGAACTTTTGTGGATGGAGGCAACAGGCTATGGGGTTTTAATGGACACTATATTAATGGTAGTGGATCCACTAAATAAGATAATCGATGACGAGAAAACAAAGGAATTGGACTTTTTATGGCTGAATTTGTAGAGCTATTTGGACAAGGAAGGGAAAACTCTAATATAGAGTCATTGCGTAGAAGTTCACCTAAAAGAGCGAATAAGAGGTTAGAATCCTGGACATCTATTGGTACAATTGCTGCCGCATCTGAACCTGCATCTCAGATAGCATCAGGTGTGTCTGGCTCCAGAATTATAAATGCTAGGCCTGGAAGTGCAACGTCATCTAAGTTATTAGCCCACGTGGTATTACCTTGGAAGGTTGATGTTACTCAGGAAAATTTGGAAAAAGTGGTAGACCTTCTACTTGAGTTTGTTGCAGATGACATAACAATAACGTCTCAAGGAAGTAGCCAAAGTTTACTTGGTCGTCTTTTCCAGATGTCCAATAAGATAGAGCCTCCAATTGTTTTAACGTTGTTGAAGTGTATTCATCATCAACCTCATTGCTTAGAAAATCTTCAACAAGGAGATGCATTAAAGGATTTTATCTCTAACCTCGATCGCAAAGAAGGTGCCCTTGTATCCCAAATGCATCATGAGGTTCTCCATACACTTTTCAATTGGTGCAAGATTAAGGAACAAGCAGCAGAAAACGGAATCATCCCATACCTTGATGCTATTTTGGAATGGATTTTCAAACTCAAACAGGGCCTTGGAATATGCCATTTTCCTGCACAACAACCTCCAGGCTTGAAGTACTACTAATTTTGCAACACTTTCTTGACTTCCACCTTGAGGACAAGGTGTATTTGGAACCCGAGGGTAATGATAGGCCTCCAATACGGTTAACCTACTCTAGAAGGCTCCAGAAGGATGGAGAAGCAGCTCAGCGCTAAAGAGCAACTAATTTCTGTTTTAGGGACATGTGGGCGGGGAACTAATTCGGTTAGAGGAAGGTTATAAATAGGGGAAGGAAAGAAAGGGTAGGGCAGGCAATTGTTTAGTGAGTATTGGAGTAGAGACTCGTATATCATTCTATTTTTCTGTAATCACTTTTCTGTCAATCAAAGAATTGTGAATTTTTCAGTTGAACTTGTTCTTTCCAGCTGGTATCCTATCATTATCCTCACTCCAACAATTTAATCTAAACACAACCCAAAATCTAATATGAAATTGACCAAACAATAATTAAATTCAATGCAACCCAACAATGGAAAGTCTAAACCAAATGATATAGAGCCCAACACCAGAAATCCAAACCAAACGATACCTGCCCAGAATTAATTCCTCTTGGCGATCAACACTCCGACCATAGTACACCAAGGAAAATCCACAAATGGATCTATCCATCCACCAACAAAAAGAGAGAGCCGATTGAAAGGGCTGACCCCAAAAAATTCCCAAGGGAAACAACCTTTGACAAAGGAAACCGCACAGAGGAAACAATGTGCCCACGCTCACTGCCCAAAAAACGTAACCGAAAAATGGGCCACAGATAGTTCCAACAACTCAAAAGACACCAGTGACCAACTATTAACCACCGAATGTACTTTACTCTCCACAAATTGCTGACAAAACCTCTAATGAGTATTCCGACAGCCCAAAGCCAAGATATTTTCTTTAAGAAGGCAAAATCGAGATGTACTTAAAGAATCTAAGAAGGTTCTAATACCATGTTAAATTCGTTTTAATTGCCCCTTCAATCGAGGGAATCCCTTTGGCTTTTATAAAGCAAAGAATTTAAGCAGTTATAGTAAGATTTTTTTACCTAAATTCAGTAAAAAAACTAAGTTAGCCTATTTACTAAATATAACTTATAGAATATACAGATTTTGACAATAATATCCCATAATTCAAGCTGCTATATGGCTAACAAGAACTACCAACAATAATTAATGGAATGACATATACGATTACAGTGAGTACATTTTTGAGATTCTGATATACCGAACATCCACCGCCTCTAATGTCCTGTCCACCCCGAAAGTTAAAACCACGTTCACCCTGACCATTTTGTTCATACTTGAATGACATGATACTAACCACACACACGAGTACTTGGACCGTAGACAATAAGACTAGCAACCCACCACAAACAAGTCCAGAAAACAATTGGCCAGCCCAACAATAAATCCAACAATAATTAATGAACCCCAAAAACCAACATCAATAGGCTCAAAATAAACTCTCAACCAAAAGTCCAAAATAATCAACCGACAAACTTTAAAAAAGAAATCAGATCGAGGAAATAAACGCCCAATAGATGGCTGAAATATAAAGCTTAAATATAACCAAATCTTGGCCAAAAAATAATGCAAAAACAGTCCAATATTTTATATAAACTCACAAACCCAAAAAAAAAAAAAAAAAAGAAAAGAAAAGAAAATACAACATGAATTTGGCCCAACAAACATCGCACACCAAATTAGCCTAAAGAGAGAACACACGGCTCACCACAGATCGAACATATCAAATCATAACCCTCACAGCCCACATAATCAACTCATGAAGTCACTCAAAATCCACATTCACCGGATCACAACCAAGTCCAACGCGTCGAAGCAATAGAGATGATAACACCACAAGAAATTCCATTTTCTACAACCATCGAACCACAACGAAACCCCCACAGAATGACGGCAAAAATCCCAACCGAATGTTGAACATTGCAAAAATTATACATCAATAAGCATACTTCTAGGACGGGGTGAAGATTACAGAGCACACACGCCTTTGATCGACACTTCAACACCCCCAACCATTATATAAAGTAAATCAAGATTACACATATGGAAATAGAGTGCAAACGTGAAAACACGATAAACTCTTGCCTAATCTATGTTATTCTAATTTATTTATTCCCTTAACATAACTAAACTAAAATATAAATAGATTCCAACCCAGCAAATGCAGGTCCCAAAGTCTAAAATATCAGAATAAAGCACAGTAGTATTTTAAGACAACATTCAAATGCAATATGCAATGGACCAAGAAACTTCACCTGTTTTCTCTCTAGGGGTGGAGGATGGTGTTATCTATGAATACAAGCAACTTACCCCCATTTGACCTTGCTTTTGACTACCTGACACTCTAATTGCAATACCACGTAAGGATCACTTGTTCCCTGAGTAAAACATGAATCGCATGAAGATGGATGAAATATCGACCAGGCGATGGATGTAGATCACAATAAATCATTTTGCAACCTAAGGGATGATAAATCTATTTTCATGGCAGTAAGAGAAAGGGGGGGGGGAGCTGATGGAAATTTGAAGTTTTTAAGACAATATGAAAGAAAAGAGACAATATTATGGCAGGCATCCAGCCTGTGAAGGAAAAAAGATCACAATTATGTAACTTGGAACCACACATGCTTGCATCAAGAAACTGATTCTGTATGCAGATGCATATACATAAAATTCAAAAATTCATATATCTGCAAAGTTATTACAAGACAGGACAATGCAGTTTCACTAGAAATAGATGAGGAGAAAATTAAGTTTAAACTAAAGTTCATCTCACCTCAATGGCAAGATGTTACAATATGAACATCAATTTTTCAGGGACCAATATCCTTATAATATGCTGGTGTTATTTGAGTTACATGGATTCCAATGAATGCCAAATTCCCTCATAATTTTTTTTGGACCTTCCTATAATTGAATCATGTTAATAGCGCAAGGACATAAGGCTGTAGATAGCCATTTAATCTTCCAAATTTAACAGTCTATACAATATACACTGCTTTATGGAAACTTGGATCTTTGAATTTGTTTCGTTGCTGGAACCAGGTGTCTGGGTGTGATTACTACGAATTTACTGACCATCTAATATACTCTTTTAAATTCAACGATCTTTACTTTACAAGGCTTATCCCTTTCCAATGCCAAACCTGATTATATGTAAAGCCCAAAGCACAAATTTCAAGGCTTTCAAACTCATTATCTTTCTTACATTCCTGAGCTAAAACTGCTTAGATTGACCTTTCATAAAAATTACCTAGGCTGCCCATCGTTAGTTTGCCCTAAAGCGCAGAAGATTGCAAGAATACGGTTGTCTGGCATCGTTTATTTTTACTACCAAGATGCTAAATTCTTACATTTCTCGCTAAAATCAAGAGAACTAGTATGTCATTCTTAAAATACGAGCCAAGAGTGCTTATTCTTCATATCTAATGTATGCTGGCTAAATGAACATCACTGTCTACCATTTTCAGTGATGTTTCTAGTTATAGCTGCTCTGATAATGGATTATTCCAAAATTTGGTGATACTAATTATCAATGGTAAAATTTATTAGCCTTCCAAAAATCAGATTATGGACCAAGCTGGAAATACTGAAAGGCTCGATTCTCTACTCCTATATATAATATAAAAGAGTTTTTTGACTTCCTAATTTCATAATTGTGACAGAATGAAGTAACGTACTGTGAAAGAAACACTGTTTGACAATTTGCGGCATCCATCTCACGCTTGCCCACTGTTTCCTGACGAGGAACATACAAGAAATAACTGAAGCAAATCAAATTAAACGACTTTGAATTGATTCAGAACTTGATCGCTCAAAAAGAATATATGACCTTTTTAAGAACAGGTAACAAAAAGTGTTACATGTACTTTTAAGAATTAATATAGTCTCCAGACAGTCCATCTTCATCTTGATTTCATAGGATCTTTTGATTAATAAATCATATTACTTTTAAGAATTAATAGAGTCTCCAGACAGTCCATCTTCATCTTGATTTCATAGGATCTTTTGATTAATAAATCATATTCCTTAAACAATAAATCCCATCAACTGCCATTTTCTCTTAAGCTAGATATACTTTTGATATGCGATATTCATATGCAGAACAAGCACTTTTAATTGTTTTCAGTTAAAGTAAAAACAGGTTCCATATCTCAATTGTTTTCAGTTATATGTTACTCTATTACATATTAAATTTGGACGAAAAAAATTACAAATTTAGAAAAATCAGTGACCATAGCTCTATCTTTTTGGCTATTCAACAAAAAAAAAAAACCTAAGATGCGCAATATTTCAGCTTTAAAATACAGAAAAATTTCATACACCAAAATCGACAATAAATGCATATAACAAGATTACAAAATATCTTACTTTCTGTTTCTCCCAAAAAAATAATAAATCAAAAATTCAAAAACAGGAAAAAGGGCTAAACTAAAGAATCAGATAAGTTACTGGAGGGGTGGTGTAAGCCTCAAATGCAAAACCAGCAAGAATGACTGCCAAATTGATATCAAACGGAGGCCTCTCATTCTCATATTTCTCGCTCTTTTCACTTGAAACGGACTCATAAATCTCAGTACTACTACTATTACTGCTGCTGCTGCTGCTGGCCTTGCAGTACCCATAAACTCTTGAACTCAAAACCCCACAAAAATTCTTGGACAAAAACAGTTTCTTGAGGAGTAAGAGTTTCTTGGAGAATGAAAATGAATTGGGGTTCTTGAAATGGACGAGTTTAGATGAATAGAAAAGGTGGGATTGAAGAGTGGCCATGGATGAGAATGTAGAGATGATGTGGCAGCTTTTGCAATTTATGCTGTGAAATAAGCGGATTTTTTGAGGCGGGTTGGGGTGGAATGGGGTGTGGGGTGTTCTTTAGATCTTGAGAAGGTACGAGAAAATCAGTGGCGCCAAGCAGTTAACGGTTAATGTTAGGCTTTTTATTTCCTCTATTGAAAAAGAGGTTATTTCAAGGATTTTAAGGTTATTGTAATGGGGTTGTTAAAACGATTATAAAAATTCTACTCAATACTCTTCTTAATTTAGATTTCTTTTTCTTTTGATAAAATAATATCCCTTTTTTTTTTTTTTTTTTAAACATGTCATCTGAGATATATGAACTTGGGCCTAACTCCATTCTTGTAAGGACACCACTGGCACTCTCTTAACAAGAATTCTTAAAACAGTGATCCCTTTCCCTCTTCTATGCTTCTCTTAGCCTCTCCATTGGGCCTTTACGCCTTGAGAGGTCACTCAGGGCTTATTTTAAAAACAGTTTAAAACTTTTAACTTGGAGTTAAGACATGCTTTTATCATATACTCAGCATGAAACATAAGATTTTTTACAAAAATCATAAAACTTTTACAAAGTAAAAATTTTATAAACAGAAATTGTCCTGGCAAGATCTGGAACTAATATTAACTATTAGTACCATATCTCAGAACTATATAAAAAAAAATACCTACTGGAATGATCCATCAGTAGTTTAGAAAAGAAAATATTTTTGTGGGATATTTTTCTATCTAAGAATAAGAATAATTAAGAATTTCCCTTTCGGGAAGAAAAGAAAATTAGAACATATTTGAGAGAAACCAAAACTTTGTATTGTATAATTTTTCTTGTGTGTTTACAAATGAAAGAATGATCTCCTTTTATAGGAGAGAAAAGAGAAAGGAAGCGTTTTTCAAAAGCAAGGAATCTTTGCTTTTTTCAAAACGTCAAAAAGAAAATAGTAAAAAACTATACTATCAAATCTTACTTTATAAAATAGTAAGATTCTTTACAAATTTTTCAAAAAGAAAACAGTAAAGATTCTTCTTTTTGTACAATAATTCTTGGTCTTTTCTTGAAATCTGGCCGAAAGTCTTAAAGTGGCTGAGTCTTGTCTGAAAATCACCGTAACTTTTTGCCAAATGTCTTCTTTAAGCAAAAATCTGAATGAATTCTTATCTTGTCTCATAATTATGTCTGCCAATGCTGTCTAAAGAATCTCCTCCATCAGTACCACCTTCTGGATTAACATCTTCTTCTGAATTATTGTCTTCAGAATTATCCAAGTCTTTTCCAATTTTCTTTTTTCCTTTATTTTTCTTTTTAATCTGAATCTTCTTTTTCTTTGTAGTACTTTGTTTAACTTGTTGCTGTATTTCTTCAATCTTGTCAAACATTTCTTTGATTCTTCTAATATCTGATTGAGAAATCTGTTCTGGATCTTGAGCTGATTGAAATGATTCAGGAAAATTAATTGGGCTTTTCTGTTTAAGGTCTGTTGGACTTATAAGTCTAATAATAGAATTTCCAGTCTGCTGTGTCTGGACTTTAGAAAAATTTTTATTTTCTGTAACAGGATTTTCAGCCTGTTGAGTCTGATTAAATTGAAAAGTAGGGGAATCAACAGTCCCCTGAGTCTGTTGAGCTTTTGGTAAGCCCAGAACCATAAACGGATTTGATAAGTCTTTACCAGCTTCCGTTTGAGCTGGACTAGCTATAGAATTCTTGGGCTCTATAGTACCTGCTTGTGTCTGAACAATTGGATTTGAAATTTTTAAATTAATAATTTCTTGTTCTAATTCAGAAATTTTCTTTTGTAAAACTAATTTTTCTTGTTGTAAAGACTGATTTGACTCATTTAAAATTTTAAAATTCTTAGTCATACATTCACAATGTTCACAAAATTTAGAAGCATAATCTAAAGGCTGATCTGAAACATTCTTTAAAGAAGGAGCAACAAAATAATTAATTCCTATAAATTTTCTACATTCTTCTAATGCTTCTGAAATAGAATAAAATCCTTTATAAAGAGGATTTGGAAAATTCTTTATACAATCTGAAACTTCTGAATGTGCAACTAGTTTAATCCAAATCATAGAGACGTTATATATAGATTTTCAAACACCACATAAACCACAGTTATTAAATATTACAGCACATGATCCTCAGACTTGGAATAATATAATAGAAGTATGAAAGAGCATTTAAACATGCTAAAAAATATTTTTGATCTTTTGGATTCTTATTGTAAGATATCCATAAATTATCTAAAATGCATTTTTCTGATTTAGTAATTGAAATATGAGAGAGTGTCTTAAAACTAATGTTACTATTTGGAAAACAAAGTAACTCTATACTACCAAATCTTAGCTTATCATGAGTCTGTAGTATATTTGTCTGAGAACTGGAACTGCCAACAATTGGCAATCCTGGTCTGGGACATCTTGGTCTTTGCATCTGCAATAAATAATCAGTCATATTCTTTATTTTTAATTATTCTACTTAAAATATCTGCAATCTGATTATCACTACCTTTAATATGTTCAAAGTTAATTAATAATCCAGTATTAGTTATTCTATCTATGAAATTTAACCATCTCCTTCTATTACTTCTTTTATTTTCTAATTTCATTTTATTAACAAAACTTACAATTGCTTCACAATCTGTTCTTAAAGTAATTTCTCTTTTAGAAATAATAAATAATTCAAAAGAATCTAATGCATAATTAACTGCAAGTAATTCTAAATCTATACTGCTTATATTACCTTTTTCTTTATAATTTCCACTATTATATCTTACAATTTTTTCACTATTTTTATCTGCATATTTATTGGGTTTTGCAATTAAAATTGCTCCCCATCATGTTATACTACCATCTGTTTCTATAATTAAGAAATCTGTTTCTAGTGGCATAGATAATTTAGGTAAATCTTTTAGTTTTTCTTTTATTTTTTGAACTAATTTAATATCTTCTATATTAAAGTATCTTTGACCTTTTGGTGAAGTTTTACCATATAAAGGTCCTGCAATTTTTCCTAGATTTTTAATAAAAGGTCTAGCATAATTTACTAATCCTAAGAATTTTTGTAATTGTTTAATATCTTCAAGTTTATCTGGAAACTCTAAAGCTTTCTGAGCTATATGAGGTTGTAATTCTATTTTTCCTTTTCCTATATTTACTCCTAAAAATTCTATATATTCTTTAAATAAAAACATTTTCTTTTTATTTATAATTAAACCATGTCTAATAAATTCTGAAAAAAGAATTTGTAAATGACCTATATGTTCTCGCCTATTTTTACTAAATACTAAAATATCATCTATATAAACAATAATAAATTTATTATGTTTACTAAAAATACTATTCATTTTTCTTTGGAAAATACTAGGGGCATTTTTTAAACCAAATGGCATAACTAGCCATTCAAAATGTCCTTCTGGACTAGTAAAGGCTGTCCATTCTATTGAATCTGGGTGCATTTTTACTTGCCAAAAACCTGATTTTAAATCAAACTTACTAAAAATATTACAATCTTGAATCTTATTTATTAAAACTGTTTTATCTGGAATATTATAAGCATCATCTATTGTATTATCATTTAATCTTTTATAATTAATTACCATTCTACTTTTTCCTCTAATAATTTCTGAATGTTTTCTAACTATAAAAGTTGCTGATCTATGTGGACTTTCTGATTTTCTAATTACTCCTAATTTTAATAAATCTTTTATATGCATCCTAAAGTCTTCCTGATCTTGGTTTGTTGCTTCAATATTTTTTGTTTTTATTATATATTCTGGATTTTTAATTTTTAATTCACATAAAATTTTATCTTTTTCCCAATATTTTAATATATTTTCTCCTAAAATTTCTAATTTTTCTAATTTACTTATCATATTTTCTATATCTTGTTCTGTTACTAAAAGATTATAAATTTTTTCTATTTCTACAAATTCTAAGCATAATTCTTCATCTTCTTTAAAACTTTCATAATATTCTTCATATTCTTCTATAAAATTTTCAAATTCTTCTTTTTCTATTAATTGACATTCTCTTTCTTTACGACACTCACATTCTTTTTCTATTATCCCACCACGCTTCTCGACAAACTCTGATGGAATATTCTTAATATAAGTAGGTGCACAAAGTGTAAATTTTTGTAATTGCAAATAATCTTTACTAATTATTATACTACCATTATCTTTTAACAAGAAACTTAATCCTAAAATTAAGTTTGTATTTAAAGATAATTTTCTTACCCATACGGAGTCTTTGGGTAAACTATATTCTGTTTAAGGTCTATTGGACTTATAAGTCTAGTAATAGAATTTCCAGTCTGCTGTGTCTGGACTTCAGAAAAATTTTTATTTTCTGTAACAGGATTTTCAGCCTGTTGAGTCTGATTAAATTGAAAAGTAGGGGAATCAACAGTCCCCTGAGTCTGTTGAGCTTTTGGTAAGCCCAGAACCATAAACGGATTTGATAAGTCTTTACCAGCTTCCGTTTGAGCTGGACTAGCTATAGAATTCTTGGGCTCTATAGTACCTGCTTGTGTCTGGACAATTGGATTTGAAATTTTTAAATTAATAATTTCTTGTTCTAATTCAGAAATTTTCTTTTGTAAAACTAATTTTTCTTGTTGTAAAGACTGATTTGACTCATTTAAAATTTTAAAATTCTTAGTCATACATTCACAATGTTCACAAAATTTAGAAGCATAATCTAAAGGCTGATCTGAAACATTCTTTAAAGAAGGAGCAACGAAATAATTAATTCCTATAAATTTTCTACATTCTTCTAATGCTTCTGAAATAGAATAAAATCCTTTATATAGAGGATTTGGAAAATTCTTTATACAATCTGAAACTTCTAGCCAGGTATGATAAATTCCTGGAAGTCTTCCATTTAAAACAACATAACATTTAAATTTTTTATGGTCTTGACTAAAATGTTCTGAAAGAGCATTTAAACATGCGAAAAAATATTTTTGATCTTTTGGATTTTTATTATAAGATATCCATAAATTATCTAAAATGCATTTTTCTGATTTAGTAACTGAAATATGAGAGAGTGTCTTAAAACTAATGTTACTATTTGGAAAATAAAGTAACTCTATATTACCAAATCTTAGCTTATCATGAGTCTGTAGTATATTTGTCTGAGAACTGGAACTGCCAACAATTGGCAATCCTGGTCTGGGACCTCTTGGTCTTATATTCTGATTATACTGAGGTTGTCTATGTAAAATTCTTTCTATAATGTTTGTACTTATATTAGAAGTACTATGTCTACCTCTATCATAAGGTTCTGAAGATGATCATACTTCACTAATAGTTCTTGATCTTCCAGGAAAATTATTCATATTTATAAAATGTTGTAGATAATTTTCTAGTTATTTTTTCTTTACCAGTATTTTTTAAACTTAATTTATCTAAGTTATTTATTATATTTTCAATGTCTTGATTTGGTTTATTTTCTATATTATTTAATTTTTTATTTATATTTTCTATTGCTTCTGTAGTCTTAAGATCTGGAAATTTTTCTTTATCTTCTGCTCTAGAAATTTTATTTAAAATTGTTAAATTTTGTTCTTTAATAAAATCTAAATTTTCACGGATTTTATTAATTTCTTTCTCAATATTAAAAATTCTTTTGCTTAAATTACTAATTTCTCCAGTTAATTTATTATTTTCTTTTACTAAGATATCCAGTTTAAAGATTTAATCTGAATAATAAAAAGAGTCTAATGAAAAATTTGTATGATCTGATAAATAATTATAATATAAATTGTCTAATTCAATTCTTAATTTAAGATCTGAAATAAAGATCTGATCAAAATTATTTATAAAATATTCTTCTCTAAATTCTGAAATTAAAGATCTATATAAAATATATTCTTTTACTTCTGGGTGTAAATCTTTAATTACTTGTAAGATAGCAAATAAATAATCTATAGGTTTATATTTTTCAAGAGAAATTAATTCTATACCGTATTCAAAAATCTCTTCTATTTCTTTATAAAATGTAAAACTATAGAATATTTTTTCTAAATCTACAAATAAGATTCTAAAAATCATAAAACAAGTAAAAATTTCTAAAAGAAATTTTACCTTTTCTGAAGTCTAAGTAAATATACTGAAATCACCAGCACCGGAACAAAAGCTCTGATACCAAAAGAGGGGGGTCCCTGAAATAAGGATTGTTTCAAGTGATTATTTTATTTTCAGTTCTGTGTCCCAAAAATTTCAATAGGATGGGAACAGGAAAGCCCGCTCTATTGTCATCTCTATAAATAATACGAAAACTTAATTTTCAAAATTTTCTTGTTGGTTTTATGCATGGATCTGGAAAATATTATTTTTATAATTATATAAAAACGTTGGTCATTGAAAACCAATAATACTTTATATGACGATTAGAATAAAAGATCTCCTAAATATACAAAATATCTAGTTTCTTCAATTGTCTTGTAACGTTTGTTAATCTAGTTTAACATTTTTTCTTTTTGTAGTTTCTGAAAAATTGGCTTTATATCAACAATATTTCGACAAAAAGATACATCAATGGAAGTTTTTTGAAATAGGAGAAACTTAGAAGGACAATGTCGTGTGGAAATAGAAGACCATCATATGATGTATTTTTTCGACTTTACACGTGTGTTTTAAGTCTCGAATTTCCATTCAAACATCAAAAGTAAATGATTTATTTATTTATCTATTTATTTTTTACCTTTGAGAGCAAGAGACCCCTACCTTCTTCACCTTTTTTGAGCTAGTTAATGATTAATTATGGACTAATTAATACCTAAATAAGCCTAAATTGACTTAATCATACATGTGTGTGTGTGATCAGATAATGATGTAAATGTAATACGACCAATTATTTACAACTTAAGAATTTTATACGATAACATTTTTCATAGTTATAAATCTGCTACATACCATGATCAGTGGCAAACGCAGATATTTAGAGTTAGTGGGACACAATAAAACTTATAAAAAGAAGTTACTAAAAATTTAATATATTCGATATCTTATTACAATTGTTCTCTACACATTCTAACGTTTCATAATTATATCATTTTCAATACTTTAAGCGCAGACTCACATTTAAAGTACTTTTCTATACCCGATACAAACAATCAATTCGAGTAAAAAAAAAAAATAATCCGTTTATCAATAATTATAGATTTACCAATGAAAACAATCAATTCAATTGTTGTTTGGTAATGGAAGGATTTTTTTCTTTGTTCGTGATTCTAGCTTCGATTTATTATAAAATAAAATAAAAAATAACTCTAGAGCTGGTGGGTCACTTGACCCAATGTGGGTCCGCCAATGACCCTGGTCACTTAATGTAACAAAAGTTTAAAAACTTTTTGAATGAAATATTCGGATCTTTCATTAAAGTTAATGAGATTCTTCTCAGAAGAAACCTCGACTAAATCAAAATACAATTGGTTATGAGAAAAAATCTACCGAGAATGTGAAATCTATTATCAATGGCCCTAGCAAAATATTGCTAAAGCTCTTATTAGATCATGGGAGCAATCTTGAATAAGAAACTCCAATACAATTAATTAATAATAAAAAAACCATAAAACCCATAAAAAATAAAACCAGCATCAAGAGCATGCATGTTACATGCCATATTTGTTCATTCACTTCTTGTCACCCACTCCAAGTGTGTTCTTCACGCCATCAATGGCACCCTGAGCCATGTGAACGACTTGCTCTCCGGTCTATAAAAATTTAAGTTGTTAGATATGTGATAAAATAATTTACTGAAATATTATGTTTAACGTGTCAAATTACATGTAAACTAAATTCATCTTTTAGTAAACATACCTGTTGAAGGAATCCAGCTTTCTCTTCCTTACTTTGTTGGGCTTGTGCCTGGGTGCTGTTGGTTGCATCGCAAGCCTTGTCGTGTGCCGACTCTGCTGTGTTTTTAGCCGACTCCATCCAATCCTCTGTCTTGGCCTATCCAATACACACATTTTATTCATCAAATTGAGAGTGAAACAATTATCGACGAAAAATTACGCATGCATGCATGTACATTAACATGTGTATACACATATACGGATGACATATTCAATAAAGAGAATAGAGTAGTATTGAATAGTATTAGAAAATAAAATATAACCCTATACAAAATATACAAAATGAAGTGTTATGCATATTTTTCAATCAAGATAGTGTTATGTTAACAAATACTTGAGTCTTGGCACGAGATTGTCCTGCGTTGTACTGAGAGCTCGACATTTTCTTTGAAACCTTAAAGGATGTAAGAAACTTGAAGCTTTTGTTCGGCCTTAAATGTTTTATTGATATGAATTAAATCATTTGTCATAGGTTATTTATAGTGCTAATTGATCCATGTATGGAGGAACAACCTTCGCGTTTTGATGTTATCAGCAGTTCTTGGTGATGAGGAAATTGCTGCCTTTGACTTGGACAAAGGGATGATATTTCAAAATCATAAGATCTTAGCTTAATTAGTCTCTGCATTCTAAAAGTACGTTTTGATATCAAGGAATGTGTACAATTTAGCACGAGTTATAAAAAAAATAATAATAAAAATAAATAAAAAAATTAAATTAAATTAAATAAATAGTAGTAATCATGCTAAAATTTACAGAAAAATATATAAGGGCATTGTAAATTTTTTTTTTTTTTTTTTCCAAATTTGAATGTCGAACGTACATCTTAACTTCCACGTTAGCTTCATATTAGCCCACGTCACTATGTTAGCTAGCTTTGATCAGCGGCCACAATTTAGTTGGCCCAATGTCACCATTTAACACATAAACATTAATGAAAAATGAAGAGGAAATTTAAAGAAAGATAAATTCTATAAGAAAATAAATCTAAACCAAAAGTGAAAATACTGTTAAAAAAAATGTTTAGTTAAATTTTTTATTTCGCTAACCGTTCATTGGATACTAACTAATACTTTACAATTGAACAAGAAATTGAGTAGATATCTTGCTTATTTAGTCTTCCATATCATGTACAATTCAACTCTGAAATATGTCATAAAAGTTCGATATCTAAAATGAATGCAAATTATTTATTACTTCTTAATTGTAAGTATAGTTCCATTTGTGTACCTATTTGCAATTTTCCCTTGAAACTACTAACTAGTCCTAAATTCAAATTAATCGATTTCAATACGGTATACCATGCTAAAGATTACAATATCCAATTAATTTACACTTTTTATTTCTAATAATTGGGTCTCCAAATGTTACATTAATTTCAATTTATAGTTTTGGATAGTCTTCGAAAAACAACAGTTTGTTTATTTTCTTTTTAATTGGGTTTCTAAATGGCACATTGTATAATTTGAAAATCTTCTCTTACAATCTACTTTTTTTGAGCAATTTATTGTTTCAGCAAAATAGATTCTTTCTGCGATAGAAAGTTACGTATTGTTTTTGCTCCAGTTCCTGCATTGGTATGTAAATAGTAGTGTTATATAGAGTTGTCAAAAGATAGAGGTGGCCTGGTGGCACGACAAAAGACGTGCCCTGTTTCCCTTACTCGCCGTGCCCTGGTAGGCCCGGCTCCGTGCCTGCCCATTTAAAAAAAAAAAAGCGTTGAACTCCAACTTTGAGAACCTCACTGCCCTACTTCTAGATCTTTATAAGGGAGGTAAATCACAAGATGTGCCCCAATAGACTAGGAAATAAGAGCTGTCTGTACATTGTGCCTACAATCAATCCAATTCCATATTTCAGGAATCGAACCCACATACTGCGACTGTCAGCAAGACGTGAGATAACCTCACTCTTATCTTTCGCACCACTGAACTATGTCTTGGGGGCACCTCTAGTGTAATGTTATCTACACGCATAGTTGTGTGAGTTGAGTGCATCTACTAATTGTGGATTGAGCTGACCATAAAAGAGGAAGGGAAAACCAGGCAGTCTTTAACTTTGCTATAATTCATGCATGCCCTTCGTTCTTTTAAACACTGTTCCATGGTGGGGTTATGTGCTGGGAATCTACTTAACACGCACAGCGGAAAATTAAAACAGATTTCGATTCCCACTAAGAATCGCATTTGTGTTTCGATAGAAATTGTGATAAGATTGTACATTTTCCAGATTTGCAAACTTTTTTACTATTCTTTTCATTCTAGCAATCTTGATTCGTCACGCACAGCTGTCCAATTGTCCAACTTCTAACGGTGATCCACACAGAGAACAAATTTTTAACTACTAGGGTTTTCTCCTCTTGTGTTAGCAAGCATAATTATGAAAAATTATATGGATTGAAAACCCTAACCATGTATTTATATAAGCCCAAACGGGGTTGACCCGGTCCGGTCCAATATTTAATTAATCCATTTAATTAAATTCGGTTCGTGAATTAATTAATTCGGGCCTATAAATAACCAACATAATTAATTAATTTATCAAACAATTGTTAAATTAATTAATTGATAAATTACAATCTTCCAATTCTCTTTTGTGTGCGACATATCAGGTTCCCGATCACGATATCTAACGACGTGAAATATTATTTTGATCTAATCAAAATTGATAAATTAAAACACCCTTTTAATTTATCATCAATTCACACTCGCTGTCCCAGATTGACATCTAGTAATGTATTAGGACAATACATGTGACGAGAAATGTCACGCGGTATGACAAAATCAAATTCGTTCGTTTACTACAAAACTATAATCCCTTCATCAATATGATCCGATCAATTACGAGATATGGAAGTGTGTCAATCTCGATTAACGATCATATCTTTCACTCCACTATTAAATTAATATAAATCGAAAACTCCTTTTCGACTTATGAGTATACATTGGCCAAGGATTTCATCATTGACTTAATTGAATGAAATGCAGATCATAATCTCCTACTATCTAAGAGTGACGAATCCTTTATTGATCAATCACAACTTTCATACGATTCTTAACGTACCCGAACAATGTCGTATTAGCAGCCCTTTACAGAGCAACATCTAACACCGTCAAAGTATGATTGTCCTCATATAAGGTACCATGACGACCTCAAGTCAAAGAACCAATTTCACTACAGAACTTTAGAGATTAACCACTGATACTCAAATAGTTATCCATGTGGAATCTCTTGACGGGTCTCCAATGCTTTGTTCTATAACAAAACATCTACGTGTTCATTTAAATGTCACCACATTTTAGCTTGTGAGATCAGTTACTTACTTCACAAGTAAGAAATGCCACAAGTAATGGTCTATCCGTAATAATGATATCCGTATCTCGTTATTACTTACGATCACGGATGATTTAAGATTCAATCAGATGTAATTTGTATCTCACAATCACAACTCCTTGTTATTAACAAATTACGAAGATTTGAATCTACGGATTCTATTATTTATTCAATTGTCTATTAATTAAATAATAGATCTGCCATTAAATTGTATTAATTATATATCAAAAGTATTTATGTCCAAAGTTAATTAGACCTAGAGCATAATACTTACATTATGTGGCTACACTGACACTTGCGCACTCTAGATTTTATAATCCATTAACTTGTCTGCGTGGTCTGCTATAATCCTGCATTCTTTCGCTTTACTTCTCTCATTTGTGAATTGTTATCATGCCTTGAAGGCAAATAAATGACTCTGGATTGATTTTGTGATTTAGGAACAATATTTTCTGCTTTGAACTCCGTAGGTCTTTAACAAAGATCAAAATATTGGTAATTAATGAATCTGGACAACAATGTATGAACTTCTGAATGTTGCAGAGGAGTCATCTGGAGTACTAAGGGTGGTTGAAAGTGAGTACAAGGGCCACCGCTTGTTACTGATTCGGACCTGAGACCTTCTCTCAACAATGCAACGTCAAGATGTTCTTGACATGTATTGGGCATAAATGATTTCTAAAATTACATAATCTACCACATCTATTGGCACGTCTAAGGATGATTTTTTTTTTCTGGGCAGGTTGATAATTATTGTTGGATTTTTTATTTTCTCGTTGGCTGTACTTTATGTTGTTTCAAAGTGCATTGGGTTACTCAAGTTGCAGAGTAAGATTATGGCTGCTGTGAAGGCTGGAATGGTAGGATAAGAAGGGATTGTCATACCTATAGCTGGCCGAGATGGTATTCATGTTGCTCCAGTTCATGAGAATGTAGTTCCTCGTATGGATGTAACATTAGAACAACCTATGCACGACGAACTTTGAATCTCCAGTTTCAATCAAAGGCCTAACACGTGAATAATCTAGTAAGCAGACGGGAACTAGATTCGAATCCATAGTTTTGATGGATTATCAATACATTAGAACCAGACATAACCGGCCGGTTTGACCTAAGGAACTGGTGTAGTTATACGTAAAAATCCACAAAATAAGACTGTTTTGTGCGGGTAGTAGCTAACAATTAAAAAGGGATCAAACGATTGTGTAAGGAACGGACCTCTTGAGACAAAATTTCAAAAAGATGTGTTTTATTGGCGATGATTTACAATTGGAAATAAACAAAATACCTCCAAGGGGCGCAAACACACGAGTACTAAAAGAAGTATTTAAGTTTAAACTAAGAAATCAAAATTACATATTCTCTGTTTGAGAGTGTTTGATTCGGGCGTCCTTTTCTCTATGTCTTCTCTTCCTTTTATATTCCCTTGATGATTTTTTCGTGACAAACCACTTGAAAACTGCTTGATTGTTGTATAACTAACTATTTTCTTTATGATGGTTAACTTGTCGTGGAACTGCCGTCTCTAATTGTTGCAATTACTCTTTGTCGTTCAATCGCCTTCAACTGGGCTCCTTGAATCGTAGAATGTGATAAAATCACTCAATAACTGTTTCAATAAATGTTATTCTGGATAACCATAATATTTTATGCTTGCTAAGATCCTGGGCGATTCGAAAGTTTGGGTGAGAACGGGGTCATCGCTCTGGGCGACCGTAAGGTACTCCATTCGCTCAGATTCTGGGCATCTTGCAAGTTTGGGTGATGATGTTACCGTGTTCGTGAATTTCCACTACATTCATCAATAATCCTGTTTGGACCTTTATTATGGACTCCCCAATTGGGCTTCACTCTTTGGGCCATTTGATTTGGGCTGCATTTTTAGTGTGTCAACAAAGACACAAGTAAAAAACTAGTCGATTCATCTCAAAAATTTTCTATTGAATATTTTTTATAACTGGTTTGACTTCGTTTTGATCCTCTACTTTTCAATTTTTTGGGTCCATGCTTGTACCAGTTTTTAAAACACTAGGTTTATCGTTGAAAAGATATTAACGTAATGAAAATAATATCATCGACTTATTCTAGTAGATCAGCTAACATCATTCCCCT